AGTGCTCTCACAGGCTTGATCCTGGGCCCTTCAAGCCAGACTCTGCAAACTAAATGGGCCATGGTTTGCATAGCAAGCTGTTAAATGGTGTAGTATTGTGAAAACAGAACGGAGCAGCGACCAGGAAAAAACACCCTTGAGGTGGAAAAAAAACCTGGCCGATGCCCAAAACCAGAGCCACTCATGGACCCAGGCCCCGCTGCACAAACCCCAGAGGCCAAGAGAAGAAAAATTAAGAGGCATGCACGGACTGCAGTTTCCAAGCAGCCTCCGGAGATTGACTGTTGGGACTCGCTTCAACCACAAGTTGGAAAATGTAACTTTACCAGATGGCCTTGAAAGTCTGACTCTAGGTGAGTGGTTCAACCAGACCCTCCAGGGTCTGACTTTTCCGAGCAAGCTCCAGAGTTTGAAACTTGGTGATTGGTTCAATCAGAGTCTGAAGGGAGTGCACCTTCCCGATAGCCTCCAAAGTCTTACGTTTGGTGATCGTTTTGACCACAACATACAGGGGCTGAACTTGCCAAGCAGTTTGCAAAGCCTGACCTTTGGTGGCCGCTTCAACCAGAGCATGGAAGGTGTGGCTTTCCCAAGCGGTCTCCAAAGCCTAACCTTTGGAACCAATTTCGACCGACGTATGGATGATGTGTGCTTGCCAAGTAGTCTTCAAAGCCTGACATTTGGCAGAGAATTCAACAAAGAGCTCGAGCTTGTAGATTGGCCAAGTGGTCTTCAATGCTTGACTTTTGGTGCTCGCTTTGACCAGAGTCTGGACCTTGTGACCTTGCCGAAGAGCCTCAGAAACTTGACATTTGGTGATTGGTTCAACCAGCGTCTTGACAATGTTAAATTTCCCGAAAGGCTTGAACACTTGACGTTTGGAAGTCAGTTTGACCAATCAATGCATGGTGTACACTTGCCAGACAGGCTTCTAAGTTTGACGTTTGGTTGCCGGTTCAACCATAGCCTTACAGACTTCCTTTTGCCGGACAGTCTCCAACATTTGATTCTGGGTCAGCAGTTCAACTGCAGCCTGAAGTCTGTAACCTGGCCCAGCAGTCTCAAAAGCTTGACTCTGGGTAGTCAGTTCAACCAGAGCATGGAGGGTGTGTCCTTCCCAAACGGTCTCCAAAGCCTTGCTTTTGCTGCATTCCCAAAGCTGGACACCGAGAATTTTCCAACACATTTGCGGAGTCTGGAATGCGGTGAGGTTTTAGTGAGTTGTTTCTAATCTTTCTGGCAAAAACTGGGCATAAAGCAATAGCACGCAATTTCCCTTCGCTGGGTTGTCAAGTCGCAATACTGAGGACCCAGAGGGTCAACCACACAAGTTTACTGCGGAAATTGGTACGCTTGGAGGTTGCTGGATTAATGATATTCTTACGAGTGCCATTGAAATTGGTACGCAGTTAGATTACTATTGCTATTTATACTATTCCTATTCCAATCACCGATAACCGATAACCGTTCCTATTCCTATTCATATTCCACTAACTATTGCTATTGCCATTGACATTTATAAACCCCTGTTGCTTTCCTACACGATGATGCCCTCCTGGGAGGCTTCCACGACGAGGTGCGAAGACAACGCGCAGCTGCGCTGGTGCGAAGTCGACGAACGGATCTCAACTGCCACAGCTCTTCAAAACTATTTGAAGATCTGGATATGGGTGTTTCTTAAAACGGGGGCCCGCCAAAACCATGGGTTTTAGTACTAAAATGGTCTAATTTTTGATGATTTGGGGGTTCCATTTTAGGACACCTCTATATAATTCTATATATGCGGATGTTCTGCCAAGACCTGCGCATTTTTCTAGGAAGGCCTTGTTTTTCCCATGATTTTTTAGCACTTTTTTCCCATGCCTGAGCTGGTTCCAGGTTTTCGTGGTGAATTTTCCACCTGGGATGATCTTTAAAGGGACTGGACCGAGGCCAAGATCTGGATGCACGAGCTGCTGGAGGGCCCAGTGGAAATCTCTGGAATTTCCATATATTTTCCATGGAAATCACCAGACCAATTCACCAGAAGAGAGCCATGGGTTTTGGGAGACTGTTGGAACCATAGTCATAGTCATGGAGTTTTGGATGCGACGTTGCGCTAAGATCATCGAGTTTTTGATGTGTGTTTCATGCCCTCGGACCCAGTTGCTTCCGATCCACCCCAAAGTTTCTGTGAGGGGCTGCTTCGCTGGAATACGGCCGTCTCGTCGAATATCTCAGGATCCTGTGAGATTCTTCTGCATGGCCTGATGATTGTTCCATAGTGTTTTTTGGGTCTGTTAGAGCTTGGGACTGTCTTGAAATCCAAACTTTTTTGTGGTAAATGGAAATGCATCTATTTGATAGCAGCAATGATGTGACACACCTTGCCATGATGCAAACCCCAACTTCCGCGACTGGTCCCTAACAGCAGTTGCCACGCCGCCAACTTTGAGTTTGAAGCTGCTGGCTGCTGCCAGCCATTGTCGAGGTTGCGAAAGAGAGAGGCTGAACTGCGGCAGATCGTTCAGGTTGGGAGGGCCATGCATCAGAGTTTTCATGGGCTGTTGATGGTGCTTTAAAATGCTTCAAACATCTCAGCTGCGCAGTCCTGCTTGAGTTAGCTCAGGTTCGGGCGCTCCGAGTCACAGTGCAAAGATGGTACAGGCTGAAATCATCCAAAGCACTGCAGGCGCGTGAGCCAACGGCGCCTGCTACGGCGATTCGCATCCTGTGCTCGACATCGCTGAGGTCACACGCATCCTGCGTTCGTATCTGCAGGGTTGGTCTGCCATCACAGGCAATCCGCCGTGGGATCTGGAGATTCGGAGTTCATGAGGGTTTGGTCATTCCACCGGTTGCGCGTCTCAGAGATCTCAATTGACATCTCAATTGACATCTCAATTGACATCTCAATTGACTCTTTATAGAGTCTTAATATCATTCTTTCCATCTATTTTGAATCGATTTTATATTTGAAGATTCTTAAAGAATCGATCACTTTTTGGTGATGGGATGGACCAATGGTGGATTGTTGAGTGGGGGAGCCATGCCCATTTTGGGTGATTGGCTCCACCAAGGGCATCTCCTTGGTGAGCGACGCCAGAGGGAGATTGAGAACTTTGGGACAGGCCATGGGCCTGGCGATAAGTGGAGATGTCTCACAGCAGCCATGTATGAAGTATAGTGAATAATGTCTGACAATGCGGCTCTTTATATAGTAGTAGACTGGCAATAGACACACTTCTGCTGTTCTGATCAACCCACAAGCGGCAACTGCCACGATTCTCGGAGGTCCAGGTGCTGGTCCTACAGAGTGGCAGAGCAGGCAGGGGGCGATTGCCGCCATTTTGAACTGGCAAAAACCAACACATTTGTCTCGAGTCCGATTTTTTCGGATGGAGTCTGAAACTGGGAACCCGTGGGAACCGATGGGAACCCATGGGAACCCATGGGAAGCCTCAGGACGCTGACCTTTTAGACACAGGATGTAGCTGTCATCCTGGCAGCTGCAGGCAACGCCGACGTTGGCAAGGTCGCTGCTGGACTCCATGGGTGCAGGTGGTCCAGAGAAAGAGGCAGCGGCGACGACACATCAACGAGGCCCAAAAAAAAATGGCCTGACCAAAAAAGGTGGAAAAAACCGTTGGAAACATCACTTGGAAACATCTGGGGGATCCAACCTTTAGAACGATCACTTGTACAGTATGGTTGAAATCAGCAGAGGCCAAAGAAGATCTCAAGAAGCTCGCCAACCACTCAGTGAAGCCAGGGAAAGATATGAAAGACAGCCATGAATCACCAAACATTTGCCAAATGCTGAGGTCACCCTCCAAGCACTTCATCTTTGGCATCGTCAGTCCACAAACTCGGCCCGTCGCAAGGCCAGCAGATGGCCAAGGTAGCACCGTTGAACCTGTGGATTTGGTATATTATACCATATTATACCATTATTCCGTATAATAATGTATAATAATGTATAATAGTATAGTATAATAGTATAACATAGTATAACCATGTATAACCCATTTGATCTGGCAATTTCCAAAATCATTTCCAATTCATCTGGGATACCAAATGGATCAGCTGGTTGGTTCCTGCAGGAGCATCTTCGGCATGCCTCAATGGCTCTGATGGTCAGGACCTCAGTTGGGCTTTGAGCAGTGCCTAATTTTTGTTGAATCCAACATGGCGATGTCCCAAGCCGATGGCAAAAATCTGGGTCAGACTCCGCCAGCGGGCGCCTTTTTTTGGAGACATATTGTTTGGGTTCATGCAGATGTTGATATGTGTATTGGGTATATCATGTATATCCACATTCAATCATTTTCAACTGATATTCCACATACTGGTTGGTCAAATACATACATCTTTCTTGGGCACACTGGTATACTTCCATTCTGTTCCAGTCAAAAGGTGAGAATTTTATCCTAAAACCGCACCCTCTCCTCAATTAGACAGCCCAGACAACATTATGTCCGCGGTTGACACTAAAATCTTTGGGCCGTACCTCGCTAGGTCAACCCTGGATGGATGTATGTATATATGTATATATATATATAGATAGATAGATAGATAGATAGATAGATAGATAGCTATGTTTTGTACCACTGAGTATTTTGCCATAACTTCCGGATCTATCATGTACTATACTAAGCACCTAACACTACTAACATCATATAATTTTTTGCAAAGATATTTAAGATTTGCCAAGGTATCCACCTTCATTTGATCGGTTGCTAAGGCCATGGTATCTGCCTGCAGATGGGCCCGGGCGCATGACTGCCTTGTCTATTGGTTCACTCGCACCCAAGCCAGGAGGAGTCGAAGGGGTCCATGGAGTCCACGGCGCCAACTGAAAACCACATTGCTGCAGTCTTGTCGGCTTGGGAATTTGAAAAACCATTTGTGGATCCATGAGCCTAATCATGTCCAATGCCAATTTTTTCATTGGTTAGTTCCCAACAGCCATGATTGTTGGGTTTCAATCTCTGAGTCTGGGACTAGAACCCTGGAACCTGCTGTTGGGTTGCAAAGATGGGTTAAGCTCTGGGCCCCGAGCTGCGTGGGGAGGATCATGTGCAAAGAAACTGACCTCAGTGGCGAGACGCTTCCACTTCTGCAGCCACTGCCGTCCATGTTTGCAGCTCCTGCCCCTTGGTTCTTTTCAGAGGGTTGCAGGGAGAACATGGGGAGCAGTGCACCGTTCATTTCATCTTAGTGCCAATGCAATGTGACATCCAGAGCATTTTACTATGTGAAGCAGCAGTCTTACTTTCTATCATTTTCTACCCACGAATTTTTATTTGGCAGGCAATGACGCTACAGATACTACAGGTATGCACTGAGAGGACAGCTGCTGAGGTTGCAGAGATGCCGGACTCGTCCCCCTGGAATCTCAGGTGGGATTGCAATTGGACACATTTGACTCATCATTTGACAACATCATTTTTAAAATTTTGATGATTTTCACTAAGTTACTGAGAACTTTGATCAACACAGGGTATGCCGGGGCCATGGGGCCATGGCCACCACCAGGCCCTCCCACGTCGCACCTTGGCCGACGGCACCGTGGAGTTATCCCAGCAGCCGCTCTGCGCGCAGCGTGCGCAGCGTGCGCAGCGCGCGGAGCGGGGACCGCAGCGGGGACCGCTGCAGTGGACCCTCCGAGATTCTGCTGATGAGCGACGATGAGGCGATCCAGCGACGGGTGTGGTATTTTTTTTCCCGTAAATCGAGATTAAATATATTAAATCTACAAGAGACTTCAAGAAACATCAAGAACTATTATTTTTATTCCAGTGCTTGCAGGGAGTTTCCTGTACATTGCTTAAGAGATGGGCATCGACAAGCCCAGTTTCTGCGCATTGTGAGATGCCCGACACAGCCTGGCACATGGCACAGGTTGTGGACCCAGCTATGTCGGTAGGGAAACCCACTCTTGTGCTGCCAATGTCTTGCGCATTGAGAGCTTGCAATTCATGGAGCTCAGGACTTTCAACTGTAAGTGTGAATTAAGCAAAATGATGCATAACGCATAGAAAGGGATGGCAGTCAACATTGCACACCAACTTGTAATATCTTGTAATTGGTTCATCTTGGCTCATCGACCCAGGTCAGTACAACCCTGGCTCCGGTCGAGCTGTCTGCAGCCCAGTCTGCTAAACGTTCAGACCTGGTGGTTGATGCACTCATTGGAACATATTGGAACCCTAAGGGCAGCAAGTTTTTTTTGCATCAACCACCAGGCTTTTCTCATCTTTTCTCCACAGATTTTCATGGATTTTCTCCATTTCTCCATGGGCTCCATGGGCTTTCTCTTCAAGGCTTTGCAGCAAGATGAAGCGCTGGTTGCAGCTTGGCTACCAAATCATGGGATGGGAACAGCAACAGCCCCGACTGCGTGACTGCTGGTGACTCAGGAGATTGGCCTTTTTGCTTTGGCAGCAAGCAGAGTTGGGGCCCAAAGATCTTCGACTTTGAGATCCTTTGAGTCCTGGTTTCCCCCTTTTTTTTTTGTGGGTCTGTTTCCACTGAGCTCCACAACGATGGTGAACATTTTCTTCCGTGCTGTTAGTTTCAGGCTCAGCAGTGCAGCAACGTCTCTGCCCATCTTGCAGCTTCTGGGACAGCATTTGGCCACTTCCGAACACCTGAGAAGATATGGCTTTCATCCAAAACAACCCACCAACTCCCCAAAAATTGGATTGTTGAAACATCTCGAAACATCTCGAAACATCTTGAAACATCTTGAAACATCTTGAAACAGTTGGGAAGAGTTGGAGATATCAAGGTGGTCCTGGAGCCTGTGGCGGCAATCGCGGCTGCGGGCACAGGTGCATCCCCTGCGACTGGGCCTTGGTGTGGCAGATGGCGATGGAAATGGATGGAATTTCTAGGATTGGACCATTGGATCCCAGAAAAATCGTGGGAAAATCCTCTGAAAAACGTGAAGTTTTGCTTTTTGGATTGGAAGGATGCCGAGGATGGTCATGAAAAAGTTGAACCTGTCTTGGAGTCTTGAACAACTGAGCGGATTGAGGATGGTGGTCGCTGGCGCTGCAGATGCACAAACTGAGGACGAAATTTTGCTTTTGCTCATGTCTTTTGAATGGAGATTCGAACCTCATGGGAACGACTCTCGAGGTTGTAACTTGCGGTTAGTAAAGTAAGTCCTCAAAGTGGGTTATCCCATTTGTAAATGGATTGTTACCCATTATAACCCCAGTTACCAACCGCTTACTAAGTGTGGTGATCCTCCAAGCAACTTAACATCTACATTAAATCGGGTCGCCTGTGTCAGCGGGCGACCGGGAAGCGGAGTTGCTTCAATCGCTGAATCCATTCCACAGGGAGCTTGAGCTACGGCTTGACTTTCGACGCTTACGTGGTGGGCCCAGTGCTATTTGCAGTGAATTAATGGGGCCATCCTGGTCAAACAACATCAAACCACATCATGGCTTAACAGGGGCTGGAGGATTGGCAAGACTAATTATTGAATACCTAATTGCTCTGGATGAAGGAACCAGGGACGCTTCACTTTTATTTTCTGAAGCCTGAAGCCACTAATGCACTGCCAAGTATACGGCTCAATGCCACAAGACGCAGGGAAGGCTGAGCACTGCACTTACATTTTCGATCATTTTCGGAGGTACTGGATCCCTGAATCAGCTCCTCCTTGCAAATTATTAGCACTTTGGTAAGCACACGTTTTGCGATCTTAATGTTGTTTGTTCTGACCAAATGTTCCCATCGGCCAGGTAGTGCCAACCCTTGCCCAGACATGAAGCAAACATATGTCACCGTGCTTGTGTCAGCAACCTAGGCAGAACCCTGAAAGCCTGGTACGACGCAGTGGCCGAGTCCCTCAAAGAGGTCTGGGTCCAACAGTAACAGCTATTACATCTGTGTGTTTTTCAGAACCATGGGCGCCCGGCAAGGCAAAGTCTCTGGCATTTTTGTTTAACATAGCTGACATAGCTGACATAGCATCAACATTTTGATCACAATCCATCCATATCCCAAACGTCGGGGCCAGGCTGTCGAGGCTGCACAAGAAGAACTCAGCACCTGCAGGGCCCTTTTCCAGGACGTCCCAGGGATGGGTCATCCGGTCATCCCGTGTGAACGGCCTAAAAATGGGTGGCCGCAAAATCCCATGGTTTGGAGAATCAAAACTTCCCGTTCCAAAAATGACACTTCTCTGTATACTAACTGTATACCCATTTGTTTGGACAAAACCATTTGGCCCGGCTGGGAGGATGTAGGGAATGCCAGCAATCGCAAGCAGCGGCTGAGCATGGTGAGCTGTTCTTGGTCTTTTTTCCAGATCAGTACGAGAGTTGTTTTGAGTCAGCCAGTTTCGTACAATTTCGAAAGCTCAACAGGACAGTCATGCCAACCCCACCAGCCACGCTTTGTTTCTTCTCTCCAGGACTTGACTGCCGGGCCGAATGGAGTTGTCACAGTTCAGGCACAAATGAGTGACGAATCAGAACTGCTGTGGAACTGCTCTGTGATATATACTTGTCTAGGAAACTTGACTGCCATCAGTTTGTGCGAAGGCTGAGGAACTTGTGATATCATTTTCATATTTTTCATGTTCTCAAAGTTATCACGGTAAAACTCAAGCGCCAGAGTTCCAGAAGCATTTCTGATATTTCTGGGCAGTTTGAGATGTGCTGCAGGAAGAGCCCTCCGAGATTGGCATTTTAGAACCAGTGTTGGAATCTGAGTCTTCCGTGAAGTGCTTGGTATCTTCCGCGAAGCTATTTGACATCCGAAGGTACGTAGGGTAATTGCCATGTTTTTTTATTGGAAAAATGATCAAACATGATCAGCAAAACCATCAAAAACAACAAAAAAAGTACAGTTTTCCAATAGTTTTCCCATTGAGTTTTCCTACTCTCAGAGAAACCACCATACTTTTTTTTGGGGGGATGGATTGAAACTGCGACATGTCAGGACCAGCAAAGACCTGGTCGAAGATGTCGAAGCCCCGGCTTCGGGAGATTCGCCAGGTCTCCAACGAAATTCCATCTGTTTGAGGGTTGCTATATAATCTATATATGATTATATGTAATATGACATATAATATGATTATATATATATAATTATATATATATATAGTATATAACTATATATACATATATGTATGATTATGTATGCATATGTGTTGCGGAAATACATGAACATGCTTGACACACGCATGTAAATAGGACATGAACATGTTTGATACACCCATGTAAATAGTGCTATGAATATCACAACCGACAGTGATGTTTTTTTAAAGTCCACGGACGGCTGTGGCGTGGCTCAGTCATACGCTGAATCTTAGTGGCCCCCGCTCGCCATGGACGGCAAGAAGGTCGTCGCTGCTGCTGTTGTACCTCGGGTTGGAAAGGATGAGGTGCTGAAAAGACATCGAACCAGATGGCAGTTTGTTCCAAAATTGGGAAACCTCCAAAATAGAGCGCCAGGAATTCATGTCAGGAATTTAGCTATACAATCCTGGGTCATCTACTGTATGTTAGAAGTGGACATTCAAAATCTTTCATAGAATCATGTACCGCATCTTTTTTATCCACGTCCATGGTGTTTCACATACTGGTAGAGTAGAACGATCTAGCAAGAAGAAAACTCTTGGATTCTGTCTGAAAATCGGCTACCTGTAATCTGCTGGTGAATCATAAGTTTTCCCGTTCAGATGGCTGTTTGTGGGCCAATTTTCGGACACACTTCTGTCCTGGCACCAGACCACTAAGGCAACGTCAGCATGTGCAGCATACGCGAGCAGGTGCTCCACGCCGAGCAGTTTGCGAAAAATCCCCACCTCGAAGTTGTTTACCAGGGGAAACCCAATGCCATAAACCTACCATTTGGGAATTTTGGATGGTTTTATTGCTGGGTTTGCCACATTAAAACTGTTTCTTGGATTTTCAATCACTTGACCAAAAGGTATACAAATGAACATATTTATTGGGAGAGAATCGCAAGCGAAGCGAATGGTGGAAGTGAATTGAAACGACCCGGTTGGAAGGGTTTGGCATAACTCCATGTTTGCCGGGATATTTTGTGCGCTGCAGTGATCAAGGGTGAGACCATTCACCTACTTTCTCTTTTTTGAGGGACCATTAAGCACCCCATGTAACCCATGGTGGCAGTCTCTGTTTTGGACCCCGAGATCCTTGCAGCTGACTGGGAGGTCTTTTGTTGCCTCTGGGCCTGCCATCACTGCGAATCAGGTGCATAAGAGCAGCTTCGCAGGCGCAGCTGCATGACCGGGTGGGATGTCAATCGAATCACCTGTCCGTGGTTGGCCATCCTTTTTGCAATGGTTGGCAGGTGCGCAACCGGCCACGAGCGCCAGAGCTGCCCGTGGCCACATTGGTGCCGCCCTGGCGCTGCCAGCAGCCGGGTTGGTGGCAGCTGGCAGATGGCAGCGGAAGGGTCGTCGGCAACCTGGCGAGCTGAAGCTTCAAACCATGGGGAGGCTGCCGAGGATTGTGATAAAGCTTATTCTCAATCCCTTATCATCCTTTCATGCATGTTAGACTACCGGTTGGGGAACAAAAATCGCAAAAATGCATAAAAATGCCATGTTAGCTCTTGATATTGTGTGTTTTGGAACTATAGTAACTTACTTGAGGCCTAGTTCGATTGGGGGCTTCAGTGACTGGCTTCCCAGGCATGCACGTGTTGTCCGTTGCGCCGATGGCTTGGCTGATTGCCCATACGTTTTGTATGGCAACTTGGGCTCAGATCAGAGCCGGTGGGGCAAACAGGTTTCAGGGATTTTCAGGACTCAGAAAAAGATGGGTTTTTAAAGTTGGGGTATGAATATGAATGGACCTGAATGGACCTGAATGGACGCCAGAAATGGCTGCTTCTTTTTGATAATCATTGATTTTGCCGCGCAAGTTTGGAACATCATTTTGATGCAGTGACAATTTCAAGTTTCCACAAGGCAAGAAAGACATTGATGTGGAGGCCGAGCGTGAGAAGATGAAGGCCCTGGTTTTGTGGGGTGATCCAGGTGGCCATTGATGGCCGTGGCGATGATCTCCGCCAGGTGAAGGCCTGTCCTTTGGAAATCCGGATGCCACCAGAGCTGAAGGGGGACCTCGAGGCAGAGATGAAGCCCGCTTTGTAGAATGGAGATGAATGGAGTACCACCCAAACTTGCCATCTTGAAATATCTTAAAATGGACATGTATTGTAGGTATGCCCTCTGGTAATGGAACATCATGGAAAATCATGGAAAATCCCGCACTTTGAATAGTATATATATATATAAATATATATATATATAAGTACAGTAAATCATCTATAAACGGGCCATAGCATTCCATAGCTCTACTATCAGCGATATCGATCTGCCAAGATGTCGCCGCCGCAGGGCCAGCGTCAGTTCTTCTCTTCTCGGCTGCCGGACATCTACAAGGTTTTCCGCTGGTTTGATGCGCGACGCCCCTCAAAATGATGGGAGATGCTGGCTGAAAGGATGGAGCCAATTTAGTAAAGACAGCCTTCAAAATCGGGAAAATGGATGGACATAGATGGAAATGGATGGAAATGGATGGAAACAGATGGAACGGTCAAATAATCCCATGAAAAAAGTGAGGAAATGGGATGCTTTGGGGATCCAATGGGATCCATTGAAATCAAATCAGCTTCTGGACAGCGGCGCTTGGGAGGACCTGAAGGAGTATGGAGCCATTGTCTTCCGTGGCTTTGAAATTTCCAAAGACAAGGGGACCTTTGGGCAGGTGCGGAAGTTCCAAGCCGAAGTTCCATCAGGAATTTGCGATGTCAAAGGATGACATGGATTTGTTATGATATGTTTGTCCCAGTCCAAGAATACCTCGAACATATTCCAACTTCATCTTAGCTTCAACGCAATTCCACAAGAATATTCTCGGAGATGCTGCATCCAGATGTGTCCAAAAATGGTAGACAACTCCCCATCAAAAATGGCATTTGATCCCTGTTCTTAATGGGGAAAGTGATTCACCATGAGATTCTTCTTGGGATCCCATCTGGATCTCCACCGCCAGGTGGGTCAAGCTCTTCAACTGGAGCCCTGTGAAGATCCGCTGCACTCAGTGGCTGCGCGGGATGCGGTGGATAAAAAGGCAGGCGTCTATGAGGCCGTGAACAAACCGTCTGGGGCCTCAGGGGCCAACGGATCAGTGGATGGACTGGTTTTGGTTGTTGGAGAACGGGAAGAACGAATTTGTTGATGTCATAGTTGGTTGAACAGTGGTGGAATTTCGGTTGAATATTAACATGGGATAAAACTTATGGGGTTGTTTTGTTGGACAAAAAGTTAGAAGGACACCATAAGAAGCCATAGTTTTTTGTTTGGTTTTCAACCACTCGAAGAATCTCAAAGATGCGGGTAAATCTTGTTGTTTTCTTATAAGACTGTAAACCAACAAGTGTTTTCTTTTAAATTCCCCAAAGATGGGGTAAATCCAGGGCTGCAATCCTGCCAGTTGCGTCCTTTCTGGCACCTCTGAAAGGTCCAGAAGCAAGTTCTACATCGGTATGCACAACGAGAAGCTTGGCATCACATAAATTTTCTGGGGATTTCCTGGTCCCATTTTGGCCAATCCCAAGTGTTCCACAGCCAGGATGGTTGGCGATCGGGCACCAGGAGCCGCTCTCTTTGTGTGCTTCAAGGCTGATGGATCTGATGGATCTGATGTTGAGACGACCTATTCCCACTGTTAAGTTCGAAGTGCGGGGCGGAGTTGGCCGAATTTCGCTTAGCAGAGCAGAAAGACCCTGTCAAAACAATGTCTAGCATGGCCAGAGTTTTTTTCCATTTTAGAGCCACTCAATCCGCGTAGTGCCGTGGTTTAGTTGGACTTTCTGTTTTATTTGTCCTTTGACAAAGTTTCATCCACTGTGATTAGGCCGCTGAAGAGGGCGGCGAATTCCTGGTTGCGGATGGCCGAAAGATGCTTGGAGCTAGCAGCTGGGAGGTTAGGCATGTCGTTGCATTCCTTTTTCTGCTTGTGGAGAATTTTCAGTAGGTTTCTACAGAGGTTTGTATCAAGGATGAATTGGTTCCTCATTTGGGTATGGATCAATACCTATTAATACCATTTTTAATGGGATGAACATCCATTTACCAGCTATTTTGATGTTCACCAGGGGTACTAGGTTTTGACACACTGCCATTTGTTCCCTGAGTCTCATGAATCGGCTGAATCCTGCGAAACACAGATCCATTGGGGCTGAGGATGTTCAAGGAGCTTGACAAGGCGAGTCGGCTTTCGGGTGAATTCTTGACAGTTCCACAGAGCTCCACAGCTCCATCTTTTCGTCGGTCAGACGGCCAGGAGTGGCTGACGAAAGTCTACAATCGAGCAGCTTGGCGAAGATTCGCAGCCGGCCAGGGCTGAGCAGAATGGGGGCTGAAGATATATCTACCTAATTACCTAGTAGTCGAACGTTGCTGCAATATCCTAAACTCAAAAAGATCTTCCTCAACTACGTCTGAAGAAATGAAGATGATCGATGAGGAAGACATGTGAGAGATATGAACTTGGCCGAGGATGTCTCAATGGATCCAAGACCTATTGTCCAACCATTCCGCAAAGCTGAACATTTTGTTTTGGCCGACCACCGAACAGCCTTGAGGATGTTGTCTATTCCACGGCTGAGTTTCCCATGGGCTTCATTGAGCGGCTCGGAGATTCAAAGCAATCTGGCATGACCTGACCATATCTGACCCCTAAATCCAAACCCAATTGTAGTAGATAGAATTCTCAACTGTGAGCCATACTAGTTCCACATTTTTCGAATTTATAAGTTTTTTGTTGTTAAAGTTAAAATGTGGATACATGTATAATATATAACATTATTTTTTCATATTTTTTCCATAGTTGTAAGTTCTAAGTTCCCAACCTATGGGGCTTACCGTAGCCAACGCCATGTCCAGCCCGGCCCAGCCCTGGCCATGGCCAAGGGGACTTCCAGATTTTGTGCAGCCAGCGGTGGAGCCTATGGTCTACGGAGCCATGACCCAGGCCGGGGCCAAGGTGGGATGGATTAGGACCGGGCATCATCCCCAAATGGCATGACAATTCAGGTCAGTGAATTACTATGATATGTATAGATTATCATATATATATATATGTATATATTATATATATATATAATGTAACTTATCCAGCTGTAGTTGATCACCAGAACTGACCAAATCAATGCGTGCCTGCCACCGGCCTTGAGTTGATGTTTTTTTCTTGACACTTTCACCCAGAGCGATCTGCCTCCAGGCCTTGAAGATGAAAGTCCCTTGGCGGATCGGCCTGGCTTCATGTGACAAATTTGGCAAGAGAAAGACACATATCCTCTGATAATTTAACATAGCTATTGAAAATGACCATTTATAGTGGATTTTCCCATTGAAAATGGTGATTTTCCATTGCTATGTTAGTTTACCAGAGGGTATCCCAATTGATATCGAGCAAAATATATCCCACACTTTGCCCAGAATCTTCCCGGCGTTTCTCTGACTTTGCCCAAAGCAGGTTGACTTCAAGACTGAGCTTCGATGGGAAAAGTCCGACTACGATGGCAGCAAAATTTTGCAGGTCACCCACTGGGGACTTGGAATGGTGGCCTGGACAACTGTGGCATTCAGTTCAGTTTAATGCTCCCACTAGGCCCTAGGCTTTACGAGCCCTTTTTCACTGTAAGTTTGTACAACTTACTGTAGGATGGTCTAGTGAGATAGTGCTAACCATCCAGTTCAGCTGGAACATAGCGTGCACCTTGAGATGTCAAGTCTAAGCGCAGAGGTTTTCAGAAGTCCAGCAACCAATTGTGACATCCCAGTACCGGTCACAGCAGCATCCCCATCGCTTCGCAGGTCCGAGCGATGCCACAATATCCGGTGCTTCGACACCATGCCACAGGCGAGCCATGCTGGTGGGGCTCCATGCATTCGCACGCCGAGCACCTCCGCAGCGAGCGGGAGAAGGTCTACGGCGAAGCGCAGGAGGGGGGCGAAGGGTCAAGCCAGCAATATACATGGCAGGTGTGGATGAAAAACACATCATTACTCATCATTTATAGGGTCTTATGATGTCTTATGAGAATATACAATGATATATATATATATGATATATAACATTATATAACCATCAAACATATTGGGTATATCGGATAGATAAATGATGGTTGGTTGATCAGCGTATCAGATATTATATTAGCCCGCTAGGTTTATGGGATGACACGCTATTTATAGGTCCATAAATATCCCAAAAGTAGCCATAGCCAATGTCATGTAGTGGTAAAATTGGAGAAGGTTTGGGGAGATCCGGTAAACGTGGTTAACACTAGAAATAGACTGGGCATGGATTAAGATAAATTGAGACCATGTGTTTAGCTTCATGGTGGATGGTCAAAGAAACCAATGTCTAATATGAACATCCACCAACAGATCATTGGTGGCGGGTGCCCACCTTTGCCCAAGCTTTTGGTGCAAGGAGACGACCGGTGCGTTTGAAGCTCAGAAATGGTGGCGAGCTGCTGCTCCACCCATTTAGCCTCTGGTAAACTAACATAGCTATGGAAAATCACCATTTTTAATGGGAAAATCCACTATTAATGGCCATTTTCAATAGCTATTTTGACATAACCAGAGGGTAGCCTCCTTGTTTCTGGGTTGTTGAGAGCAACAATAACAGCGCCCTGTTGTTGAAAACGAGGTCGCGCATCAACAAGACGGATGTCTTCTATGGCGATGATGGAGAAAAGATCGAGGCAGTCACGGAGATTCAAGTCCACCGTCCCGCAAGTCTTTGGGTAAATGAAGCCAAGATAGCTAAGATAGCCACGAAATCATCCCCTATAGATGGAGGCTGTAATGGGAAAACCATCTATACATGGTTTTTTTTTTCCATTACCACGTTCAGTTGAACATCTTTTGCGGCCTTCACAGCGCTTCAGACGGAATGGTTGGAGCACCTGGACAAAGTGACCTTGGACTGTGCTGAGAAGGTGAAGATGGAGCCCCACTGCTCAGTGATGGGTCGATGGAAATCACTTCATCCATGGGTCAAAGAAGGGGGGATACCATGGGAGGTCTCAATTAATGCCACTTTCATTTGTGAAAGTTCATTTGTACACTTCCTATAGCATGCCTGGGATTTTTGGGCATCCTATTTTCACACCCAGATCTTACAGTCTGTTCAGCTAGGGCTCCAGGATCCGAGACGCACCAGAATCTGTGAGCCCAGCCATGCCCAGCCTAAGGGAGGGAGATATGGTGCTCCTGGACAACTACCTGGTGATGCATGGCCGATGTCCCTTTGAGGGTACTCGGCTACATGCGGTCTCCTGGTTCAAGAGCCAGATGCTCAGTCCATGCTCAATCCATGCTCAGTCCATTTGGCTGGCTGTTGGCATGTCACATGTTGGTCGGATAAGATCTGACATGAAAACCGACTGGTACAGGATTTTGTACATTGTGTAGGCATTTCTCAGAGTTTCTGTGACTTTGAAAAAAACCCTTGTGATGGTTCTTTCCTCGAGGTCCGGACTACTCCAAAGCTGCAGCCTAAACATGTCCCATGTCGTCATGTCGTGGGATTTGCTCCTGGCAGAAATCTCCTAATGCGGCGCAAGTCCGCTGGAATTTCATTCCGACGCTGCTCTTGGGAGACACAATAATGCTGGTCAGTCTTGCAAAGCAAGCTGCAGCTGTTGCTGTTGCTATGCTGGCCATGGTGGCAAGCATCCAGGCTTGCAAGGATGGTCACCTCCCTAGTGGGAGGACGATTTTACTTCACTTTTTAAGGGATCTCTGATCATATTTAGCCAGTGGTTCTGGCTGCTTGAGCCTAAACCCAGCTTGGCAGCGATGCTCCACGAGTTCAAAAGGGATCTTGAAGCCTTCGCATGTGTGGCATTCCGCCTTGGATCTTGATTCCTGGGCATGGGTCAAGATCTAAGACTACTAGACTACTAAGATTCAGGAAATCACAACCGTGACTATACTCATAGTATCTCATAGTAATATACCGTTCATTACCGTTATACCATTCTGATCATCAGCCTTTCAGCATGGGACATCTCAAAAACGTCACCTGAGGTCACCAGCCACGAGGTGATCTGAAGCCCCGGAGCCTGGAGATCCTGGAGGAAGTTCCCGTGGTGTTTCTGTATGGTAAATGGGTTTGTCTGAAAATAGGGTATATAAACCCCAAAAATAGCCATTTAATAGGGATAATGATCAGCAAAACCATTGGGTAAAAAGGGGTACACAACATTTTCAGACACACCCAAATGTGTTTCTTTTCCGAAGCCAGCAACACATCCCTAATGACACCCAGTTTTCTTGCCTAGTATCAGATATCTATAGACTATAGAGATATCTTCCTTGTTCTTGAACTTTGTTTCTTATGGTGTTTCTTTTCCCTCCAAGTCCAGCTCAAGGACCTTCAATCATTGGTCGGAAAGCCGTCGTGGCTCTGCGTAGATCACCGGAGATTGCCCAGGATCCTTTGGGGTTGCCTAGAAATGGATATTTTTTGGGAGTATTTTTGGACACAACTCACGAAAAAACAACAAATCTTTGGCCTTGGATTGTTGAAGACATGCAATATCATGCACTGCAAAGTGGCAATAATTCACTGGATCGTTATGTCTCTCATCAAAACTCTCCGATGATGCTGTCACAAGCTATGCTTGGAGTAGGGAGATGCAGCCGCGCAGTTAATCCATCTTCACCTTTGGATCTGGCACCCAAACTCCCTGATCCAGGCGACTGCAGGCCATGTACAAATTATGGGAGATTGGCAAGCTGCCGATTCTGCCGATCCGGTTTCACTCGTTTTTTTAGCTTCTCCCGAGGTTCCGGTGCCAATGGATCTGCCAGATAACCGCAATGACAATGTCGAGCCAAATGGTTTCACAACGAGAGGAAGAAGTGCCCGCTGCCGAATCTGTCCGCCCATAGCAGTGATGATTCGCTGTGTTGCAGTCCACGCTTGAGTTATTTGCTACTCCAAAGTGTCTAGGACAGGAACTTGGAATTGAAATAAGACACCTTTACTAAGCACGCCGTGTGCTGATGTGCTTTGTTGATTTGCATATGCTGATATGAACCTTTTGCTCTTTTCAGCGCCTGACCAGAAGTCGCACTGTCAATCAAGAGTTGCGTTTGATTTGTCTCATGTATCCTTTTGCGGCAATGCAACTAGTGCCCTTGTGGAAGTTGATACAGGTGATTTCCATGGATCTTGGTTTTTCAGAGATCAGCGTTCGCAGCACCACAATTTGTGCACCACAACGGAAACCAACGGGAACTGTCGTAGCTCACAGAGCTGACAGAGCTGGTTCGCAGCACCATGGCGAACATCTCCGTTTGGGAGAAGGCACTGTGATCACTTGGGATTTTAGGAATTTTAGGCCTTGGATGACGACTGGTTCCTCTTGGTTCCAAGTCAACTTCGGGGCCAAAGCTACCAGGTTTGGCAGGAAGTGCGATCCGGCCTGGTAAGTTGGATGGCCCAGTTGCTGGGAGTGTGCCATGGTGCCATAGTGCCATGGTGCTCTGGTGCCTGAGGTTCTGTGGGTGCTGAAGCTGCTTTGTTTCCGCCCGGAGCTGTGTTGGGGTCATTTTTGATCCTTCAACTCTTCCAACGACAAACCGACTTCACGAGAACACCAGGCAGTTTGACATGCTTTCATCCATACCCATCCATACTGATAGCCAAGTTGCTGAGGTTAGACACCATTAAACTTCAACAGCAAGTCTATGGAGGAACTGTGCGCAACTCAGCATCCTCGCAGATAGTTGAAAGCAACCATCATTTTGTTCTAAATTGCTGCCAGGCTGCTTCAGTCCTGTCGGAAACTTACACCGACAGTGTCAATCTGCAAGAGGACTTCATTGCCTCAGAAGGTCCCCGCCAAGATCTAGACGAACACATGACTTGGGTCTGGATCGATCAGCACCCGGCATTGGGGAACTTCTTCTGCTCCCAGCAGTGCCAAGGAAGCGTTTGATGGCGCAAAAAGGTTTGCGCGGCGTGTACCAGGGATTGATTGGGTGCGCTGACCCAGTGAGAGAGACCTACCTGGAAGATCCTGGAAGGATATTAAGGATATTTGAGGGCTTTGGGGTAAGTGAGTGTAGTTTCGAAAAACAGCAAAGCCGTTTGGATGATTCGAAGCTCAAGAAGTGGCAGTTCTGTGGAACATCTTGGCGATTCTTGAACAGTCTCTGAAGCGGCTGTCAAGATGGTACAGATATGGTACAGTTGCCTTGAAACATCGTAGGCGTTTGATTCAGACCATCACCTCCAACGTGGGGAGCCTTGGTACCAGACCTGTCCAAAGGCTAGACACATTCCTGACTTGTTCATGTCTACGCGACATTGATTCTGTTGTATTGTTTGAATGCTTTCTTTTGACACTTTGCCAAAAAAGGTTGGATGCCTTTGGATAGAGTCCCGACCATTTGTGACCCATGGATTTGCCCATCCACCATCAAAATATGGCTAGATCAGTGGCCACTGATGAACCTCCAGTTTTTGCCTGGATGGCGATATTTCGGAATCAGCGACCCCAACATTGGATGCTTTTGTATTTACTACTAGCTACTGTAACTGGAACATCAAATGATGACCAGCCGCTGTGGATTTTCTGGCTCCGCTCCAAGTTTTCGGCCCTTGCACCGCCGCTAAAGGTCGGCTTCTTTGTTTGGCAGACCGTCTTTGTTCAGCTCAGCCTGCGGAAAGTGCAAGTGACCGAGCCTGGTCGTGAAAAGCCACTGGGATGCAGCCTGGTATAGCCTGGGCTTTGGGAGGGCGAAGACCAAGATCCAAAAAATCACAGGTCGTGCTGCAGACAATAAGGGCTAAAAGATACTAAACATCTCTAAGAATGAAGGACATTTCCGCTTGAACCCAGTAGAGTGGTTTGGTGGGACACAGAAGTACAGGTGAATGCTGTTGGGACAGGTGCGTTCGCTTATCTGCAGGAGCAGAGTCCTGCGATTGCCTGCTGGGTGGTTTAAAAAAATAGAGTCCGATTTCTTTTTGGGCTCCCTGACATGTTGCAAACATTTTGAATATCCCATATATATCCATATAATTATATATATATATAGATATCTAAACACGGTAAAATATATACAGCCAATTATATACAGTAATGTCCAGCGCATGTATATCTGTATATCCAATGACATTTTACTGTCCTCACTGCAAGCCACAAAAAATGTCATGCTCGATGGATCCAACTCAGGCTTGGAACTGTCACAGCACTTATCGTGAACATGCTGGCGCAGCAGTTCCTTGGGGAAGTGCCATGTTCCATTTGCAACATGACATGGCAATAAGGGGGGGTGGTGGTGGTGGTATCAAGGCTATCTCTTGCCAAAAGGAAGCCAGATGTGACTGGCGCCGAATCCACTGAAGACGTCCGTGTCCCGAGGTTCAATCGGCTGTTGACGACTCCGTTCGATGTTGTGGCGAGTGTCAACCAGGCAGTGACAGGGGATATGAAGTCAGATGCCACTAGATTCGTTCTTGGCTTCGAAGTGCACCAAGGGTGAGTACGCACGAAAGTAGAGGACCCAAAGTTTGCCCTGCAAAGAAGCAAGGGTCTAGCACCAGATTCGTAGGAGGCTTGAGGAGTCTTGAGTCTACGCATCTTCTACAATCGGACCAGTGAACCTTCACATACCTTCACTGTGTCAGCCTTGTGCCAGGCCGACCCAAACTCCAAGGGATTCTTTCACACTTTCTACCGCATTGGGAGTCGCTGTCCCAAAGTTACCAGCTGTGGCATCCATGGTTTGCCCTGCATGGCCTGCAGCGAGGCACTGGAGGCATGGCTGACCTGTGGCGAGGGCCGGGCAACTCAGTACTGAAACCTTGCTTTGGTGGTGGTTTCAACTGTTTCAATATATATATATATAATATATAATTATATATATATAATATATATATATATTATAATATATATATATATTATAATATATATATATATATTTGACGGGATGAAAGACGTTTTCATGCTGACAATGGATGCCTTGAAGCTGCTGACAACCAGTTGCGCCACAACCACAAGGCTTCCAGTGGCCTTGTTGCTGTCCTTGAACCCTGCATTGATGTTCACTCTGGCAGCAGCCTCGGAAACCTGATGGGATCCCTTGATCCACTGGCTATGGACGTTTGTGCTGTGGCATGTCATCCAAGTGACGACTGAGTCACTCGTTCACACGTTGCAGGTTGGAAAGCTCTCCGACGCGCTCAAGGCGCGGCATGACAAAATGCTCACGGTTTACTGAGCAGAACATGAGATTTTATGATACAAATTCAGGATACATGAAAAAATCATGAGAATCATGAGAATCATGGGGACGATATCTTCCAAAATACTTCCAACATACTTCACAAAAAAACATCCAAAACATGTCCAGAATTCTTCAGAAGATTTCCGCCCTGACCTGAGGCGGTTCGGAACACGCCTCCTGAGGGTTTCTTGAGCTCCTCGGACATGTCAGCCTGCCATGTTTGATGGGCTCATGGCGTGGGAGACTGACCGTGTTCCAGCTGATAATCTTAGTGATCATATAGAAACATATGATGACATGTGATAGCATATCATACAAATATAGACTTTATGTATAAATAATATGTATGTATGTGTATATATGTGATAATATATATACTGTATATATATAGACTTTATGTAAAATATGCATGTATGTATATATATATGACAATATAACATAACCAACAGGATATTAGATAGACGTCAAGTTATTTAAAATGACATATATATATTTATAGATAACATATAGATAATGTATATATAATGTATAGATCATATATAGATCATATATAGATCATATATAGATCATATATAGATAATGCATGTCAATAGATGAAATTTCATCACTCCCACTCATTTTTCAGCCGTTACGCCCAGGTTCTGGATCTCGGGCATCTCCAAGGCAGTCGCCACGCTGCTGACCTATCCCTTGATCCGGGCCAAGGCGCGGCAGAAAATGGTTTACCATGGTTTGCCATGGTTTATCTCATTTGAAATGTTACTAGACATTTCGAACTAGGAATGATGGAACTACCAAACATGTTATGGTGATATAATATTGATATAATGGGATATATAACCAACGGATACTATTTATAGTTGCTGAACATTTCGATCTTTCAACATCTTCGAAGGATTTTTCCAGGTACGCCATCTTGGGACCAGCACTTCAGCACTGCTTGGAGCTGTCTTCGTAACGTTTCATGGCAGGCGGTGATTCAGACCACGGGAGGTGATCATCAAGGTCTATGGGGAATGCTGGCTGGCATCGTGCGCAACGAAGGCTGGCTCTCCCTCTACCAAGGCGTTTGGTGCTCGGAGATGTGGCATGTCAACTGCGACACTGGTCGGAGCGGAGTTTGGCATCATGAGTTACCATTTGGTTATTTAACAAAGCCATGGAAAATCACCATTTTTCAATAGGTAAACCATCTATAATGGGCCATTTTCCATGGCTATGTTAAATAGCCAGAGGGTATAAGACCAGTTGGTTTTATAATCAACCCTCAGAGTATGCTGAATTGTGAAAGTGAGGTTTGGATCATGAGTTATAAAACCGTGCTCTTCAACTCCTTGATGATGGCTGCTCGGCAAGTTGACGCTTTGGCCGGGTGAGAACAACTGAGAGATGGGAGTGAGATTGGTACAATGCAAATTCGAGGGACACTGGTCGCTCAATGATTGGTTTCCATTCTAAGAATACAGTACATAGATCAGTAGATCTTTTATTTTTCTCCCCTTTTGTTGATATTGAAGAAAACGGGATACCCCCAACATCCAGGTGTTTGAAACTGCGAAATCAGGCCTTGAAGCAGAAGGTCTCGCTGTTGTTGATGCAGTTGGGAGCTCAACGGTTCTCCAGGATCCAATGGGGTAGCCAATTCTCCAAGCATGTCAGAGATGGCTCCCTGGGTCAACACACGGATTTTGATAGGGCCCAGATAGGGCCGATAGGGGTTATACCGTTGCAGCTGTAGCCTGTAGTTGCATGTTACATTAGTACGTTAGGGACTGCTCTAGCCCATGAACATCCATGAACTGGGAAACGCTGGTTTCACCAGCCATACGGATGGCTCAGGTGGGATAGATTCCGAGATCGCAAGAGAAGACAGGAGAAGAGGGCGCTGCTGGAAGGACCAAGATGCTTGGAGAAGTTCGACCCACAGATGTGTCATATCTTGGATATTATTGGATATTGAAGCATCCAGTTTTGGAGCATCCAAATTTGACCTATACCTATCTGACGCTGTGCAACTCAACTTCATTCTCTTCAAAGTAACAAAAACTTAGAGCGTTACTGGAGAACCCTCAGGGTTTCCATGAGTTTGACATACTCCGAGGGTAATTTCAATACCCTCCGGTCATTACTGACAAGAAAATATATATTACCTATATTAGAACGGCTATTTCCACGTTGTTTCCTTATGAGAATGGCCAAATTTCATCATCATTTTCACATATTTTCCTATTAACACATGGCTCGCTTCGACGTCGGTCCAGGACAATTCCGCCAGAGTGTGACCCCCTGCTGCAGTTGCGAGATGCCATGGGAAGCAGCCGCACGAGGAGAGGATGGCACTTTCCATGGGATCATCATGCGATGGATGACCAGAAGTACGTCTCATTGTTTACCACTATCTTGGAGTTTTGGTGCTCACCATGCCATTGAGTATAACATAGTATAACTATACCTGACCTTGTCTTTCGTATATGGTTAGCTTATTCTTCTACTGTACTTCATTGTTTGCCAAAGGTTAGCTTGTTCGGATGCTTTCTTTTGGAGGCGGTGGACGCAAAGAATGTATTTTCAATCAATCCCGGAGCTGTTGCCATCGTTGGGAGCTTTCCCCACAGTGAACAGCTAAGATGACATGGAAAGTACCACAAAAATTGTGGACCTCCAAATTTGACTGCTTTGTTTCGCCATAGCTTAGCAGGCTCCACGGTGATGTATGTGGATGGTTCCTGGTGCTTCCTGCACGAAGCACAGGTGCGGATGTAGAAGTTTGGAGGCATCCATTTTCACCAGATTTCACCAGTATTATGTTGATATAGCATATGCTCTGCCTTGCCAGTGCTTATGAAACAACTGGTCCGACATTTCTACCTTGGCAGCATTGTTTGCAGACAACCGGCAACGCTGCGTTACACCGCCCGTGCTAGGCCCACATTCTCAAAGAAGGCAACAGATTAGCTGATCACCTGGTTGTTGGTGTGCATAGTGGGAAGCTCAGCATCTTTGCCTTCCAGGAATTCAGGATCATCCAGAGCTTTCTATAGATCCCAACTTTTGGATACTTTTGGATGTTGTTCCAGGCGATGACGTTCACCAGGAGTCTGTTGGCACTTGGCGATCCTGTCATGTTTGGGGTTTTCTGACTTCTTCTGGCGATCTTCGAAGATTTCCATGGAAGCTATTGTTGAAAGGTGTGCTATCAGATTATCATAGATATATCATAGATATATCATAGATATATCATAGATATATCATAGATATATCATAGATATATCATAGATATATCATAGATATATCATAGATATATCATAGATATATCATACATATATCATAGATATATCATAGATATATCATAGATATATCATAGATATATCATAGATATATCATAGATATATCATAGATATATATCATAGATATATATCATAGATATATCATAGATATATATCATAGATATATATCATAGATATATATCATAGATATATATCATAGATATATCATAGATATATATCCTAGATATATATCATAGATATATATCATAGATATATATCATAGATATATATCATAGATATATATCATAGATATATATCATAGATATATATCATAGATATATATCATAGATATATATCATAGATATATATCATAGATATATATCATAGATATATCTCATAGATATATCTCATAGATATATCTCATAGATATATCTCATAGATATATCTCATAGATATATCTCATAGATATATCTCATAGATATATATCATAGATATATCTCATAGATATATATCATAGATATATACCATAGATATATATCATAGATATATATCATAGATATATATCATAGATATATATCATAGATATATATCATAGATATATACCATAGATATATATCATAGATATATATCATAGATATATATCATAGATATATATCATAGATATATCATAGATATATCATAGATATATCATAGATATATCATAGATACATCATAGATATATCATAGATATATCATAGATATATCATAGATACATCATAGATATATCATAGATATATATCATAGATATATATCATAGATATATATCATAGATATATATCATAGATATATATCATAGATATATCCTAGATATATCATAGATATATCATAGATATATCATAGATATATCATAGATATATCATAGATATATCATAGATATATCATAGATATATCATAGATATATCATAGATATATCATAGATATATCATAGATATATCATAGATATATCATAGATATATCATAGATATATCCTAGATATATCCTAGATATATCCTAGATATATCATAGATATATCCTAGATATATCCTAGATATATCATAGATATATCATAGATATTTCATAGATATATCATAGATATATCATAGATATATCATAGATATATCATAGATATATCATAGATATATCATAGATATATCATAGATATATATCATAGATATATATCATAGATATATATCATAGATATATATCATAGATATATATCATAGATATATCCTAGATATATCATAGATATATCATAGATATATCATAGATATATCATAGATATATCATAGATATATCATAGATATATCATAGATATATCCTAGATATATCATAGATATATCCTAGATATATCATAGATATATCATAGATATATCATAGATATATTCATAGATATATCATAGATATATCATAGATATATCATAGATATATCATAGATATATCATAGATATATCATAGATATATCATAGATATATCATAGATATATCATAGATATATCATAGATATATCATAGATATATCATAGATATATCATAGATATATTCATAGATATATTCATGGATATATCATAAATATATTCATAGATATATCATAGATATATCATAGATATATCATAGATATATCATAGATATATCATAGATATATCATAGATATATCATAGATATATCATAGATATATCATAGATATATCATATACTGTGTACACATATACCGTATACCCATCATATCTCCATGATATCTCCAAGACATCTGCCAGGCCCGCAGAATGCTACGCCGCACGGCTTGGGCGTTTGCGAAGAAAACCTTGGGACAGGGACTCAAGGGATCACAAGAAATCTAGAAATGGATAGTGGGTGGTATCACCTATCATCTATCCACACTGAAACCAAGGCTGCGACAATTCTGGAAAATGCACCCTGGGAGGCACAGCTCGCACTTTCAACGTGGTCAACGTGGGGCCGTGGGGGCATCGTTGTAGTGAGATCAACTGTTCCACAAGAAGCGGCGGAATAGCTTGGCTTGAGAGATGTTGAAAGTACTCAAGTATATACCTTCCAGGGTTTCCGGGATTTTCATATCATGAGCCTGGATTATTTATCCATTGCCATTGGGGTAATGAACATCAATGCATAGTAGGGCCTAGGAGGGGCTAATGTGGTAAACATAAATAATCAATCATCCCCAAAAATACCATAAATGGGTTCTATATACAAAGCATCCCCAAACGCAGGTTTACAATTGGGTTTCCCACACTACTGTAAAAACTCATTGCAAGGGATTCCTCCAAATGGCACCCCGATGGTCGAAGGTTTCTGCAGAACTGCTGGACGAGCTGAAGATTGAAAAGGTCTTGGGCGGAAGCATCACGAAGACCGAGGACGTGAGTTGAGTCAGGGCATTTTGTCTCTAAAAAATGGGGGTTCACCTGAAAAAAACACATTTTAATGGGATATATTATTGTCATAGTACATATTATGTATATGTATGAGATCGTATGAGAAATAATTTGGATTACTCTCCAGTGATGATTTCCACAGCTAGAAACCTCCATTTAGTTCGAGGATTTCCCAGCTTTTGATAGGACACATCTGGGAAATCTGGAAATATTGGGATTCAATCTGAGAAAGACGGCGATAAACCGGATTTGAGGGGCACCCCATGGACAAACTCAAGAATTCAAGTAACCCCTGCTGATGGTGGACTCTCCTCACAAACCAAGGTCATTTCGGGGAATGTATATGTATAGGTGTATTATATATATATATGCGTATATATGTATATGTATTTGTACTTATATATTATATATACACATGTATTGATGTATATATGTATATATATATATGTATATATATATATGTATATATATATACATAATGTGTTGTATCATGTATAATGTATAATGCATGCTACATTTAATGTCAAATGTTATATACACACATATGTATTATATTTCATCATTTGATATATATATATATATAATATCATGTATATAATATATATATATGATATAATGTATGGTATAACTCACATACATATATATATATATACATAATTATATATATATATCATGTATATGTATCAATATACACTGTACTACATTACAACATATAGTTATATTTTAAGATAGTATATATATATATACACATAATATAGAGGGCTGGAATTAGAATAGCCCAACATTTGAACACACTTGGATGTATCAGCGAATTTGCAGGACTGCACAGGTGGCTCACCCAAGTCTCCAAGCAAAAATAGGCGCGGACGGGGATGCAGGGCAGCTCTGATTGGCAGCAGATTGGACATGTTGAATGCAAATTTGAATCTCTTACAGCTCATATGAGACTTGACTTTAGATAGTTTCACCACGAACCATGATAAACATGCCATCATTGCAGTCATTTTTATTTCAACATCTAGTTTGGGCAGAGTTTCCAGTGAAAGGCTCGGGTGTGTTGACTTGGTTCAATCCGCAACTTCTACCGCATCTACCTGCGGTGGGCAGGTCGGATGCGCAGGTCATTGTGGATCCATATGCTGAATGTAAGAGGCACTTGATGCTTGAAGCTTTGTGGCGAAACACCTTGATGGAGATCCTGAATGGGCAAATCTTGCAGTCAGATAGAAACAAAACAGACTGGGCCGGAAGCTGGCGCCATCAGAAGCTGGCGCCATCATATTTTGACAACTATTGGAAACGTACATATGTTCAAAGGAAGTTTAGGGGGAGAAACTTCCGTGTTACGGACTTTTAGAATGTCAGGGAAAGAGTTAGTCAAAGAAAGAGTTAGCAAAGAAAGAGTTCGTCAGGGAAAGAGTTAGTCAAAGAAAGAGTTAGTCAAAGAAACAGTTAGTCAGGGAAAGAGTTAGTCAAAGAAAGAGTTAGTGAGGGAAAGAGTTAGTCAAAGAAAGAGTTAGTGAGGGAAAGAGTTAGTCAAAGAAAGAGTTAGCAAAGAAACAGTTAGTCAGGGAAAGAGTTAGCAAAGAAACAGTTAGTCAGGGAAAGAGTTAGTCAAAGAAAGAGTTAGTGAGGGAAAGAGTTAGTCACAGAAAGAGTTAGCAAAGAAAGAGTTCGTCAGGGAAAGAGTTAGTCAAAGAAAGAGTTAGCAAAGAAACAGTTAGTCAGGGAAAGAGTTAGTCAAAGAAAGAGCTAGTCAGGGAAAGAGTTAGTCAAAGAAGAATTAGCAAAGAAACGTTATGCCAGGGAAAGAAGTTTATTCAAATAAAAGAGTTAGTCAGGGAAGAGTTAGTCACAAAGAAGAGATAGTGAGGGAAAGAGTTATCAAAGAAAGATTAGCAAGAACAGTTAGTCAGGGAATAGTTATCAAAGAAAGAGTTAGTGAGGGAAAAGGTTCTCCAGTGAAAGAGTTAGTCAACGAAGAGTTTTAGTCAAAAAGAACCAGTTAGTCATGGAAAGAGTTAGTCAAGAAAGAGTTAGTGAGGGAAAGAGTTAGTCAAAGAAAGATTTTATGATGGAAAGATCAGTCAAAGAAAGAGTTAGTGAGGGAAAGAGTAGTCAAAGAAGATTTAGTCAGGATATATGATGTAGTCAGAAAGAGTTTAGCAAAGAACAAGTTATTCAAAAAAAGAGTTAGTTAGGAAAGAGTTAGTCACAGAAAGAGTTGCAAGAAAACTGGTCCATCACTGTAAATGGGATTGCAAGTGGTGCTGGTGGAGGAGTTGCCGATGGAGTTTTGAAGGAAGTCTCGCACGACATGCGTTTTTGAGAGATAGCAGATGCACGAAAGCCTATGTTTTTCCATACAAAGTTCGTCCCCGAACCTCGATGATCTACCTCTGCGGTGCGACGGGTGCGAGACAGTCTCGTGTGTGGTCGGATCATGGTCGGATATGCTCGGATCATGGTCGGATCATGGTCGGATCGGTTCCGCATTGTAAATGGGGTTTCAACTGTTTTTCGTCCATGTGTGGTCGACAGAATTCCATTGTGATTTGCAACTGTAGGATCGTTCCCGCTTTGTAAATGGGGTTGCAAGTGGTGCTGGTGGATGAGTTGCCGATGGAATTCCATTGTGATTAACTCTAGGATCGTTCCCTCACTGTAAATGGGATTGCAAATGGTGCTGGTGGAGGAGTTGCCGATGCAGTTGTGAAGGAAGTCTCGCACGAAATGCGTTTTTGAGAGGTAGCAGATGCACGAAAGCCTATGTTTTTCCATACAAAGTTCGTCCCCTAAAAATAAAAAAACCAAAGAAAAAAAGAAAAAGAACAAAAAACCCCCGAACCTCGATGATCTACCTCTGCGGTGCGACGGGTGCGAGACAGTCTCGTGTGTGGTCGGATCATGGTCGGATATGCTCGGATCATGGTCGGATCATGGTCGGATCGGTTCCGCATTGTAAATGGGGTTTCAACTGTTTTTCGTCCATGTGTGGTCGACAGAATTCCATTGTGATTTGCAACTGTAGGATCGTTCCCGCTTTGTAAATGGGGTTGCAAGTGGTGCTGGTGGATGAGTTGCCGATGGAATTCCATTGTGATTAACTCTAGGATCGTTCCCTCACTGTAAATGGGATTGCAAATGGTGCTGGTGGAGGAGTTGCCGATGCAGTTGTGAAGGAAGTCTCGCACGAAATGCGTTTTTGAGAGGTAGCAGATGCACGAAAGCCTATGTTTTTCCATACAAAGTTCGTCCCCGAACCTCGATGATCTACCTCTGCGGTGCGACGGGTGCGAGACGGTCTCGTGTGTGGTCGGATCATGGTCGGATATGGTCGGATCATGGTCGGATCGGTTCCGCATTGTAAATGGGGTTTCAACTGCTTTTCGTGCATGTGTGGTCGACAGAATTCCATTGTGATTTGCAACTGTAGGATCGTTCCCGCATTGTAAACGGGATTGCAAGTGGTGCTGGTGGATGAGTTGCCGATGGAATTCCATTGTGATTTGCAACTCTAGGATCGTTCCCGCAATGTAAATGGGATTGCAAGTGGTGCTGGTGGATGAGTTGCCGATGGAATTCCATTGTGCTTTGCAACTGTAGGATCGTTCCCGCAGTGTAAATGACTGCGTCAAGGTTGCTTCGCGCTGTGGCTGCATTGGTAATACTATTGTCTTTTGCAGCTGGATCTCGTAAATCGTATTGGAGTGGCTGCATGAAGGCTGCCACAGTGATTTGTCAGCAGATTTTCTCCATTTTGGCGCTAGTGATTTTCCTTCTAAAAATCCTTTCAAAAAGTGCTTCAAAATCGTCTTTTTTTCGCTCTGGCGTCGAGATCCGGTTTTGGAGCTACAATTTCCGACGCCGTTGCGCGTAGTTCTATTGCGTTTTGGAACTCAATCTCTGCAGATCGCATTGTAATGGCTGCGTCAAGGTTGCTGCGTGCTGTGGCTGCATTCGTAATACTATTGTCTTTTGCAGCTGGATCTCGTAAATCGTATTGGAGTGGCTGCATGAAGGCTGCGAAATGGGTTTGTTAGCAAATTTTCTCCATTTTGGCACTAGTGATTTTCCTTCTAAAAATCCTTTTAAAAAGTGCTTCAAAATCGTCTTTTTTTCGCTCTGGCGTCGAGATCCGGTTTTGGAGCTACAATTTCCGACGCCGCTGCGCGTAGTTCTATTGTGCTTTGCAACTCAGTCTCTGCAGATCGCATTGTAATGGCTGCGTCAAGGTTGCTTCGTGCTGTGGCTGCATTCGTAATACTATTGTCTTTTGCAGCTGGATCTCGTAAATCGTCTTGGAGTGGCTGCATGAAGGCTGCGAAATGGGTTTGTTAGCAGATTTCTCCATTTTGGCACTAGTGTTTTTTTTGTTGGACGTACGTTTAGAGCAGTGTGAAGTGTGGGGCGTGAAGAGTGCAGTGTGAAGTGTGAAGTGTGAAGGAAGCAGTGGGAAGTGAGAAGTGTGAAGTGTGGAGTGTGAAGTTTCAGGTTGGAGTGCGAAGAGCGCAGTGTGAAGTGTGAAGTGTGAGGTTTGGAGTGTGAAGGAAGCAGTGAGAAGTGAGAAGTGTGAAGTGTGAAGTGTGGAGTGTGAAGTGTGGAGTGTGAAGTTTCAGTTTGGAGTGCGAAGAGCGCAGTGTGAAGTGTGAGGTTTGGAGTGTGAAGGAAGCAGTGAGAAGTGAGAAGTGTGGACTGTGAAGTGTGAAGTGTGGAGTGTGAATTTTCAGGTTGGAGTGCGAAGAGCGCAGTGTGAAGTGTGAAGTGTGAGGTTTGGAGTGTGAAGGAAGCAGTGAGAAGTGAGAAGTGTGAAGTGTGAAGTGTGAGTGGAGTGTGGAGTGTGAAGTGCGAAGTGAGAAGTGTGAAGTTTGGAGTGTGAAGTTTGGAGTGGGAAGGAAGCAGTGAGAAGTGAGAAGTGTGAAGTGAGAAGTGTGAAGTGTGGACTGTTCACGGTAGTGTTGTGGGGAGTGCGAAGAGTACGCACGTGTGAAGTAAGGGCAGTGTTACTCACATCTTGTATGTTACACAGTTTCTACATAACTATTATCCCGTATGTTAAGGAAGCCGTGAACGACGAGTGTGAAGTGTGTGGACACCAATAAAAAGGCACACACATTGTACCGCCTTTGAGGGTGACACGTTTGGACACTTACTACAATTTCCAAGATGCTACAAGAGCGGTGTGAAGTGTGAGTTTTGGAGTGTGAAGTTTGGAGTGGGAAGGAAGCAGTGAGAAGTGAGAAGTGTGAAGTGTGGACTGTGAAGTGTGGAGTGTGAAGTGCGAAGTGAGAAGTGTGAAGTTTGGAGTGTGAAGGAAGCAGTGAGAAGTGTGAAGTGTGAAGTGAGAAGTGTGAAGTGTGGACTGTGAAGTGTGGAGTGTGAAGTGCGAAGTGAGAAGTGTGAAGTTTGGAGTGTGAAGGAAGCAGTGAGAAGTGAGAAGTGTGAAGTGAGAAGTGTGAAGTGTGGACTGTGCAGTGTGGAGTGCGAAGAGCGCAGTGTGCAGTGTGAAGTGTGAAGTGTGAAGTGTGAGGTTTGGAGTGTGAAGGAAGCAGTGAGAAGTGAGAAGTGTGGAGTGTGAAGTGTGGAGTGTGAAGTTTGAAGTTTGGAGTGCGAAGAGTGCAGTGTGCAGTGTGAGGTGTGGAGTGTCGAGGGAAGGACACGGTCGGGACAGTGTGTCTTTGAACTATAGGTCATTTATGTTTGGGAAACTTCCGCCGCCGGCTTGCCCGGGTCTATGTTAACTATGTTCTTTTTTGTTTGGCCGAACGGTCGAAGACATCCAAAGTCGATGTGGAAACGAGACGATAGGCATCTCAGACCGTTATTATGGAGGATCAGTTTGAGCAGCTTTAGCCGAATCCAAATGGTGGGTCTAAATTCAGAGTCCATATGGATCCATATGTTTTTTTTTTGGATAGCAGATAACTCGAAAAAAATGGTTGCAGGCTGGGTGTTTTTGAAGAAGTTCCCTCCTTGAATGCCTCCACGGAGCATGATGAGTGGATGCGCAAGGCGGGCTGAATGCTGGAGTAACGATGAAAACCTCTCAGAAAGATGATGATTTTATGTTATTGCAATGAAGGAACATGAGAAACTGATGATCAACCAACGGATTGTGGGCTACCCTATGATTTTGGCAAACTCATGTGGTATTTTCGTTGCAAGAATGATCCAGACAGATTTGCGAGTATCCAAGAGTGGGAGCTATGTAGATGTTTTTTTCTGTTCAACAATCCAATGCAGTTAGCCATCTGATTATGAACTTCCAGCTGGACTAGGTGATGAAGATCGCCTTTTCAAATGTCGATGCTTCCATTGACTGGCGGATCCTTGCTGCTTGGCGCAGGGATTGGTGCATAGACTTGTTCAAGAATGGAAACCCAAATCTATGCCTATTTTCAGGGATCCCAATGATGCAATCCAGAGTCGGATCTAAAATCCTATAAGATCTATAAATTTTTTTAGATTTTTACTAACTCATGGGTTAGGGATAGTACGATGTCGATGGCGTTAGACGTTGTGGTTTCATAGATTATGGTCCTGGTACACTGTAAACCTCAGGTCTCCGACGTTCTTTTCCCTTGGAATTTCCGGCCAGCCATGACGCCGCTAAGGTCTCCGATGGACAAAGCCTGATCCTTAGATGCCAGCCGCCATGGCCTTGGGAGATTGGTCCGGTTGACATGTCATTTTTCTGTAGATTTGTTGCCATTTTTCCATGATTGGATGATTTTCCATTCATTTTTCCCAAAAACATGAATCTATTGACGTGTATCTATACATTATATAAATTTACAATAGATGTATATAGAATCTCCTTTTGCCATGGAAACAGTTGTTTCATCATCACAACTCATTGGGCACATGGCCAGCACCAAGGAGCACAGTTTGGGCCCAATCCTGGCTACCGGGATGACGACCAAGCCGGCATTCGCCGCCAAAAATCGATTTAAATTCACTGCAATGGAAATGACCTGTCAACAAGAGTGATTTGGGATCTCACAGCAACTTGACAGCCAAACATCACGGCAAACAAATCCAACTCTCGATTTTTGTAGATCTCATTCTGTCTCATCGACGTCTGAAGATTTTCACGAATCCGTGAAAATCTGTGGTGCAACAACACAACCGTTTTGCACATCTGCAAATTCTGCACGATGGCAGCTGGCAGCAGCCGCCCTTGCTGCGCTCCGCATGTTGTACATAGCCAGCCTCAGTGGCTGGAACTCGTTCAGACTTGCCGTTGCACAGGCAATGCTTTGCGCTGCGGGAAGCGAGCAGCGTCTTGATGGAATGAAGTCAATAATAAAGTGTTGGATTTTGGATCATTTCTCTCGCAGATTTCGTCATTTGATATTGATACGGTAGGTGGATGTTGCCCTACCTCTCATCTGTGTTTAGTCTTGCATCATTTGCATCTTCTCTTCTGCAGTGTTGCTCCAGGCTGAAGGCCATGAAATGCAAAGACAGCCTGGAGATGGACGGCTAAAAATGAGCCAGGAAATCATCAGACCCAGCACACCCAGCAGACCTTGAACCGATCACCATAGGGCCCATAGGGATAACATGACCCTTGCGGAAGTGCATCGATGAGGCTTCTATGTTTCTATGGATAGTATGTGAGATGACATAGATTAGATCAAATTAGATCCAAATCAAACATGCTGCATGTCGTTAGCTGTCAGGAAAAAATACCCCAAACACCCAAACACCAGGATACGAAGCAGAAATCGAACACTCAACTGCCAAAGTCCCGCTCTACGCAGATCTACAGCGAGCTGCATAGGGTCCGAGTTTGAAGCTCCCGCGATGCGCTGCCAATGTCCTGTTGACAGTTGAAGTTTTTCACCCCTTTTTTCAGGCAGGGATCCACATCATCCACGTAAAGCCATGGCTTCACCCCCAAAATATGGCGCGATTTTCCATGGGGATTTTCTGATCAAAACAACCATGGAAAATCGCAGCACCAGGCCATGGCACCCAATGGCAAGCAGACCATGTCCTCTGTGTCGGGCGCCCATG